GATATAATGTACAAACTGTTGACCAAAAAATTGTTACCTTACAACAATATAATATAAAATCTTACTTACTTAACCAGTTTATTTATCACTTATACTCATCGACAGTACGTAGGTATTATGAAATGGTAATATATTCGCATCGTTTATGCCTTATGGTTAGTGTTTGAAGTGTGAGAAATATTTCATGAAATATTTCATTTTGAAATATTTCACTAAGTTGTAAAATATTTCACAAAAACGTGAAACATTGAAATTTTTTTTAACACAAATAAAAACACAATTTATTTATTTTTTTAACACAATGTTCAGTGTTCTAAATTCTAATGTCAGAATTCAGTAATTATACAATATACATGTATAATATTGTATACCTACTTGTATCATTTAAACATTAAAATATTTAAAAATTTTGAATACCAATTTAAATGTATAATACCAAAGGTTAGATATACATACAGGTACCATATAGTGATGAAGGTAATTTATGACAATTATATGTAAATATAAAACTTATTTAAAAATAAAACAAAATATATTAAAATACTGAAATATTTCACATATTTTGAAATATTTCACGAAATATTTCATTTTTTTAAATTTCATGAAATTTTCAAACACTACTTATGGTTATCCGAACAAACTTATACAAAAATATTTATTTAATGACGAATGAAATTGTACATACATAATTATTTTTAACGTATTGTTATGTCATACATCTGACTGACCTTTTTAAGCAGAGCGCACTTGTTGCTCATCACTATGTCGACGACCAACCTATAACAATATTATGATGAAATATATTATATTATATTTATAGAGAACACTCAACGCTCATATTATTTAAATTTGCACTAATGAATTGTTATTTCTTGTTGATTGTCGATTTTTCGTTATCAGAATGATTTCACACAAACTATATTATATTTTATCACCGTCCGGCGTCTGTACTATTGGACAATCAAAACACTGAATATCTTAGGCACTACACGACAGTAGTAATAGATATGGCACCACACCTCCTTGGTTATAATATGAACCAAGTGGCTGACGATATTTATACTGAATTCTAGTTTTTGCCCAGTGAAGGAATAGATGGTTGACTATTAATTCTACACGAACCGGTCTTGAGAACCGGGTTGTTAGACTGATTTAAATAAAGTTTTCAAAGTTATATTTTACAGGTCTCAAAAACTCACGACCTGCGTTCATAAATTAACACAATCGAACACGACTTAGCATAACGTATACAATTTCACATATTATATTAATTCGTATACGTAATTTAAAATTTGTGTTTTGATTGTTGTGCCTGAAAATGGTAGTTGGAATACTCAAATTACTCTAAACTTTGCGTACATTATTAATTGTAATTCGAATATAGACTAACAGAGATCGTTAATTATTACTAATAAATAACCATTAATATCATTTATTATCATTTATCAATTATCTTATCAATATAACATATAATTTTAACACATATATACCTAATATACATGGAACAAAATTAACATGAAGTATTTGATTTTAAACAGGTAACATATATTTAATGATTTACAACACAAATATGCTTATATACAGGTTTATGATAAAAATATAAGATACAAGGAACAAAATTAATTTTTAAAAAATTTCAAATATAGGTAGGTACATATTATTTTTAATTATTTATCATTCCTCATCAGTGAAACAAAACATGTACAATAATTTTTATACGGGTTAAAGGTAATTATACTAATGCAAGTTTATGATAAAAAAATATTAGATTTGTATAATCTAAGATATAATCGAAGAACGATTAACGGACTGTTGTAGTGAACAAGTGGCGAAGGCTAAACAGGTGAAAACGCTTAGCCCTGTCCTACCCTACAGACGACGCAAGACCACTTGCAAGTCGGCCGTTGACATCGCCCTGTTAGCGAAATTATTGAGATCGGCGGCCATTCTCCGCTCTCTAAACTTTGTGCTGTCTGTTCCGACACTTTCTCGGGCCACTAGATCTGTTTTAAAAGTCAGGCAGACAAAGGTCATTGCTGCGACATTGCAGCTGGGTCCCGTCCCGGAGCCAACGACGACGATTTGTAAACGACCGGTTTTGGACATCAACGTTGTCGTCGTTGAAGACGTGTCTGCAGGAGGACATGAACCGGAGGACGAGGTTGGCGCTGTTACCGTCGACCTGCTAGAAGAGACGTCGGTCACTAAACAGATCAGGCGTCGTAGGCCGATTCTCCAAGCAATCGTCAGGCGTTTGTCCGAGATCGACGGACGTCTGTGCTGTTGGTGTGGAACACCATCGTCATAGGCTTGGTAGAGTTTGCCACGTGTGCACGTCAACAACACGCTGTTTATGCTGAGTTACTGAGTTCACCCTGCGTTCATCAATGTTATAATATATTGTTTATTATGTTACCTATAATTAGGTCCATGTCCCCGGGTTATGATAAAAAGTATGGTTGCCAACGACCGGTACCCGACATTGTGACGATTGCACTCTGTGCTTGAATAATATTTCTGAGGGATGGTGTTCGATGATCGATAACTTTTTGACTTATATTATATTCTAAGTATGTACCACGTGACTCTAATTTATACTAATGAACTAAGATGATTTTGTTCTACCTTATGTATCGTTTGGTGATGTTTATATGATTCGAATATTACACATAAAGTCGTATCGATTCTAAGATACTTTTTTTACTTTACTTGCAAATTGTAGTGTAATGTGATTGTTATTTAATTGTGGAAATTGTTTTAACACCTTAGAGCAGTGGTTTTCAAACTGGGTGCCGCGGCACACTGGTGTGCCTCGAGAATTCACTGAGTGTGCCTTCGGAAAGTTAAACTATTCGTCCAAGAATAAAATTATAAAAATAAAATTTATGACAATTTGTTAGCCCGTCATTCGTCAAGCACTCATTTCTATTTAAATGTACTTATATAATTATAATTCAAAATAATTTTGTTCATCTGATTATTTAGTGTAAAAAAAAAAAGGTCTGTGTGCCTTGAAAATTTTTTATGGAGCACGGTGTGCCGCGTTCAATAAAAGTTTGAAAACCACTGCCTTAGAGATTTGTTGTATTCGCCGTCACCATATAGGACATGTTACGGACATTGATAACGAACCGAATATAACCTAACCTGTGACAAGTTAATATGCAATAGGATATAATATAATCATAATGTCCTAATCACACTACACTATAGCAATTGATTATTTTAAATTGAAGGTATGATGATTTAGGATAAAAATTAACAAGGCATTTCATTTAGCTATACGAGACAACTAACTTAGTGACCATACCTGAATATTCGAATGATACAACACACATATAAGTTCATAACTCAAAAAGGTAATATATGAGCATAAACGAATGATGTGTAAGTGTGTGTCGTGATGTTGACTGGCGTGGACAATGCTTATTGAGACTTCTCTGGAATGACACTGTCAACGAATAGATGCTCTGTGGTCCTTAATCCTTATATGTTATGATTTTGGTTGATTCCTTCTTCTTGTACATCGATTAGTATGTGATATTGAAGTATTGTTATATTGTATTATTTTGTGCGGTGCGACAAAGGTACCGCTGGTAATTTATGGTTTTGTTTTGACAAAACGTCTTGATCGGAGAATTATCGAAGGGGTCTTGAAGTATAAAATATATATACGAAGTAATGCGTTCATAATTTTATAATATACGGTGTTTACTGGCACCGCTGATATTCGTTTGTGTTGTCTCCACTAAACGTCTGGTCGGAGAGGTGTTGAATATTATTTATGTGTTGCATATGCCGAGTGTATGTAAGAGGAGTGAGTATAATGTATATATGTATGTACTTAATGGGTATGTATGTATGTATGTATATTGGATCACCCACACTCCATAATATGTCCGTGGTCATTATTTGTCTCGTGTTTTATTCTAAGTCTAAATATTGTCTATTACAATTATGTATAATGAAATATTTTATAAATAGTCAACGACCAACTTCATAACAAAAATTTTCAAGTGTTTTACATTTTTATGACTCTTTCTAACTTTAACTGCTTATAAGAAAATATTATAGCTTTTTTGTTTTTTATTTGTAGCACATTACCAATCGTTTTTAATAATTAAACGAAATATGTCAGCTAGACAGATATTATAATATATTATACTGACCATAAAACTGATCAACGATGTTATTATAATAATTGTAGGTACAATTGAGAGCAGATGACCCCCACTGCATGCACTGTGATGAGCCGGACGACACTGTGGAGCACACATTATTTAACTGTCCGTTCTGGGCAGAAGACAGACGGGAGATGGAGCAATGCGTCGGCCGGCCACTACAACCCAATGATGTGCCGGATATCATCCTGGGACCGGAACAGGAGCTCCTCCCAGATGCTGCATCCAGGAGGCGGCGTATCGAGGCGATGGCGGAGGGACTGAGGTTGGCGTTTGGCAGAATGGTGGAGGCGATTCTCGGGCGGAAGGAGGATGCAGAGCGGGTTAGGCAGGCGCGATTATTTTAATGGTGACGGAGTTTGTGGGCCGAAGGCCAAATACCTAGGGTGGTTAGAGGCCCCCACGTATGTACTCTATATTATAGCTGTATTTTGTAGTGACGGTGAATAAACGATACGGGCTCGGGTGGCAGTATTGTGCTAAACAGTTCCCACCCGTTCCTGTTTATAAAATAAAAAAAAAAAAAAAAAAAAAAAAGGTACAATTGAGTCAAAAACCACGTGTTTGAGTGTCTAACTATCAACAGCGAAAGTCGATACCCGACTGGTCAATCTACCTAAATCGGATAGGTAGTGTACTCGACTGTCAGAATATTGGTACCTACGGTTCATAGAATTTATAACGAAAGAAATTAAAAGCGATGAATATAGGTCTACTGGCACTCTTCAAAATCGAATTTTTAGGATCCTAAAATATTCACAATGTCCATAATCCATATTCCACGCTTGTGGAACGCTTCATTCAACGACTTACGTGAAACGCTTTATTCGACCACGCTTGTCGAATTGACCTTACCAGTTTTCCCTTCTTCCTGTGTACTTTGTTCTGTGCTCGTCCGGTAATTTTTCGTATGTAAAAGAAAATATGAAAGTTTGAATGTCTGGCTATCAGTCAGGTGAGTGTCAGTCGAGTGAAAATCGATTTACGTGCTACTAAGCTACTTACCTAGGTAGACAATAATATGCCATCAGTACACCAGATGGGAAAACCACCTGTGGTGTGGACCTGACGGTAAGCGACAGACGGCAGAACTCTTTAGTTTCAAAATATAATACTATAGCCCATTTGGAGTTTAATGTTTTTACTTAAAAATATATCACTCGGTACTTTTGTTTTTACTTAAAAACATCCATCGATTTGTTATGTAACAATACCTTAAGTAAGTCTTGGATTAGAAACCAAATTTTAAGAGCACTTATTATATCATACCCGGCAAATAAAAAAGAAGAAAAGTCGGTTTTTAAACGGCTTTTAAACGACCGGAACAAACCACGAAAGACAAAACGCATCATAATAAAAAAATAACAATAATAATAATTTTATTGTAAAATTGTTAAAATTGTTAACGGCGATAAGGTTTGGATGCGATAATAAAACACTGTGCTTTTCTACATCTGGCAGAGCGACTAAAAATTTTAGAGACTTGAAACATTTTAGCATTAATTAATCAATGATTTTAGATAAGTACTATACTATTATTACTTAATTTATCATTTTTTGTACAAAGTTTTCAATACATTCAGACTTTTAATTTATAAATATCAAAACTTAAACAATATAATAATTTATGTTCCATTATTGACAAATAATAAAATTTAAACAATGTACGGAAACAATACAAATAATTTTCTACCTACACAATAATATTATAACTATTTTTTTTACATTGATATGAAAATATTATTCAACACATTTATCACTTACAATTATTACAACTATGAATAATACAAATATTTTGTTTTAAGTTTACCTAAAACATGAGTTATAATTAAATAAAATAGCCAGTAGGCAGGTACATAATATTTTCTCCTTAAAAATAGTGAAAAAATAATACGTTTAACTATCTCAAGACTTAACTTTTCTTTAAGATAAACATTTATTTAAAAATATAATTTGAACAATATAACAGAGACGTCATTATAATTATAAATTAATACAATATTGTAATTAAAAATTAAATATGAAATACTAAAAATATATTTTTAAAAACTTAAATAACTTACGTCATATGACTTAGATCGATAACAACCAATCGTAACTTTTATGTCAAACACCGCAATCGAGATAGTATTTTGTTATAAAAATTTGAAATCATTTTTATTTATACTTAAGAACGAAAATTGAGTATTAAAATTAAAAACTTGATATTGAAATTTTTTATTAGGTACATAATATTAGTATTATAAATGTCAGTTTTATTTAAATATAATTTCTGCGGCTGTGTAAAAAACATGTCAACAATATTGAAAATGGTTTCCCGAAATATTAAATCATTTAGTATTTTTTTTTCTTTTCCTGTACACTATAATATGCCACTATTAAAAGGTGCAGAAACATAATATATTTTACCAATTAATAATTTATTTTGTTGTTAATCAAATTATTTACATTTTCAATTAATTTCCGGGAGAAGACTTATTAAAAACCAGGTAAGTACCTTTTATCATTGTGTGGTTTTCATCTTAATCGACCTATTATTTAACTTAATAAATATTACATGGAGAATACCCATTATTAATGAGCCATACGCAAATAATTCAAATGTCCTCTCTCCGCCATATGTTTGGTACATAAATCCACCGACCAAGCCACCAATAGATGTACCTGGAAAATGAAATAAAATATTACAACAAGAATAATAATTATAATTACATATTTGAACATAAGGATATTAAAAAAAATTAAATTAAAATCATAAATCTGTTTTCTAAAGTTGGATAAACTACATTAATAAGTCAGTTGGCCATTATGTTTAATGAGCCATACAGTAATAACAGATTGCAAATTATAATAAATTTACAAAATTCTTCCCAGTTGAATGCTGAAACTATCGATATCTTCTTTTACAAATATTGAGGACGTACACCAGAAATCTCCAGTCTAAAACATACTGTATATCGTATTTTTACTGTTTTCGTAAGTCCACAAAATATTTTTCCAAAAATCAATAGTCAAGGTATAATATTTGTTGGAGTGTTTAAATTTGGGAGCCATATTGTTAATCAGTCTGACGACTATTTTTATGAAGTAAAATAACATTTAACTATAAGTTATTTATAAAGAATATACATTCAATATTAGTTCATGGTATAGATTATAAAAGTAAGGGATTTTTAACCAACTGATAGGTTCGAATAATTTAAATAAAATATTTATTAGTTAGCCATTTAATTAGGGTCTGGATTTCAATACGAAGTTCATTATTTTTTGGGAAGTCCCGAACAATGCTTCTCAAGTACAAATCAATTTTCATACATCAGAAAATTGAAAACTTGAACTCTTATTTTGCATTTTTCTAAAATAATTTTAAGGTCAGTTTGTCAGTTTTTTGTGTATATTTATAAATTATATTATGCATTTATAGATTAAAATCAATATTGGCAATTCAAAATTTTAGTTCAAGAAATATTGTCCCGAACATTCATCATTCAATTTGTTGGTCGATCGTTCAACGTTCTATTTATGACATCGATACGTTGATAACGTCTTTATCTATCTACGATTGACGGCTGTTTTGAGTCCGGGACTCTCATACTATTAGGCATGGATTATAAATTATAATATATATACGTGGGCAGAGGTTATCATCTCGACTTAAGGGCTAAGGAGGTTTCTCTGCTATAACGAATAGGCAGTGGCACACCTATATAAATATATAATTGGCCTTTTTTTTTTGAATGAAAAAGTAAAGTAAAAATAATGTCGAGTAACGCGAATGTAATATAAGATATTATTATTTATGTTTTTTATTACTATTTAGATATTTTTATAATCTTAATTGAAAAGTTTATTGTTATTATGATTTTTTTTTGTTATTATGATTTATTCTTATAAATTCTTACAACCTATTATATTTTATGTGATATAAGGTGCCATCATACCGGGTGATTCTTTTAACAAACAACACTCATTATTTCAAAAACTGTAAATTTTTTTGAAGATATTTTTTTACATAGTTTCAAGTCGCTTATAAAACAACGTTTTTATTAAAAAATTATATTTTTAATTATTTTTTATCCTTATAATGTTTTAAGTTTTTTACTTTTTTGAACGACAACATAGGGTTTTAATTTTATATTCTAAAGTAGAATATTTTTCTTAGTATTTTGATACATGAAAATTGAATTTGGGGCGAGTAGTTTATGAGTTATAAGTATTTAAAGTTTAGACGAGCGGAGTGGAGTGGTTCGGGGTTACCCCGCGAAATGTTTGTCCACTTCACCGCTCGTCTAAGATAAGATAGTATAAGATAAGATAAGATATTATTATTTATGTTTTTTTTATTACTATTTAGATATTTTTATAATTTTAATTGAGAAGTTTATTGTTATTATGATTTAATTATGAATTCTTTTTGTTATTATGATTTATTCTTATAATTAATAAAAATATATCCAAGGTGGAATGAATACAGTTGTATTAAAAATATTTATGACTTTGGTGCGCAATGTTGCAAATTTGCAACAAACTGAAAATTCGTTTTCTACAAAAAACTATTAGTCCAATATTTTTTAAATTATTTTTCCCGAACTCCTCAAAGATAAATTAGTTTATAAAATTTTAATTAATAAAAAAAAAAAATATCGCGCATTGAAGGGTTGAATAAAATATTCTCACTATTATAAATCATTTCATAAAAACACTTTCAACTATTCAAATAATCTCCAACTTCTTCTCTCTTACTCTTCCTGATAACCCATCCCGTGGTCTTAAACAAAATTGGCCCAGGGACCTCCTTAAAAAAATTTAAAAAAAAAACACTTAGAATTATGAAACAGGGTCATTGCACCCCCTTTATATCATGCTATTCGTTCTTGTGTACTTGTACTTCCCCCCCCCGATATTACCTATTATATAAATTTATTACAAATTGTATACCTATATTCTTGATTTCTATTAAAAAAAAAAGAAATGTAACGAGCAACATAATTTTACTACTTTTCAAAAGTAATTTACCCAACACTGCATATACCCGAACATTATACCTACTCGTAGGTGGAGTTGGCACTAATTTGCATCACACGTCACAACTGCAAATACATCGTCTCACTAGTAGGCAAATTTTTTATTTAACATAATATTACACTTACCAACACCTTCGAAAAGTGCTCCGGATAGTGCCACCACAGTGGTGGCCGAACTCTGGGGAGCAATGAATCTAGCATAGGCTAACAAGACGGCGTGACACAGTCCAAATGTAATGCCGTTGGTGAACTCGACGGGCAGTATCCAAATGGGGTTGGTGATCACGGAGTACAGATAGAACCTGAGAGCAAAAGCGAAAAGACCTAAGGCCATGCAATACGTGTGGCCGATTCGTTTGATGAACCAACCGGAAAAAAATAGCAAAGGCAATTCACCGCCGATACATTGAATTCCTATGGCCAAACCCTGTAAAGTTTTCGTCCACGATTGTTTGTCACTGTGGTACTTTTGGGTCAAGTCCTCCATGTACCTGCGAAAGAAAAACAATAAGCTAAAAATCTCAGAGCGTTTGATACTTTTTAGTTTTTTTCTGCTGTTAAAATCAATTGCATTCAAAATAATACGAAATTATTAGTTGTTGCAAAATTAATAATTATTTTAAAATTGAAATAAAAATGTATACACATTTATTTATACAACCAAACTATTAAATATTAACAAAATTTGATTCAATTAATATTCAACTAGAGAAGTAATTTTGAAATACTCAAAGAGTACACAAGTATTTACATAGGCGTGTGCTGTCAGTGGAGGGGGGAGGTGAGGGTGGCAGAATATTTTTTCTGTTTTCTACTAAGAGTTAAGTTCTTATTAAATATACAAAATTATCTTCTACATAGATTTCAGAACAGTGTTTATTATTTATTATGTTATTTTCATTTTTATTTTCAACAACGATACGGGCTGAGCCCAATTTCACAAAAATATAACAATAACATATTATTATAATTTATAACATATATTATATTAATAACAAATAAATATATATCAAAATACTAAAACTATGATGGATCGACGCGTTTTCCATAAGCATCGTTCTAAAAATTGGCTGGTTATCAAAATAATTGGTGTGGTACTACATTATTATTTATTAGACCTATGTTATTTTGTACACTCCATTTTAACTTGTTAACAATATATGTTGTGTATTCGCAAAATTGTATTTAATTTTGATTACCTACCTACCTAATAGTTAATACCATGTCACAAATTAATAATATAGATGAATTTTATAAATTCTGAGTGGAGAGATAAATGTATTGATTTTACAATAATATGTGTTTTTTGTGAATGAGTATAAATACACGATTTAAAGTAAAAAAATGCTTCGATCTTCAGCTTTGAGGGTTTTCTTTGATAGAATATATTTTGATTTAGTTATGAATTTCAGAAGGTCAAAATTGAAAACACTTAATACTTTTCAAAATAATCAAAAAAAACCACACAAAAAAAATAGGAAAAAGATATTTTTTATTTTTGGGTTTTCAAGTTGATAAAAATGTTTAGGCTCAATCAAAAGCTTGACAATTTAATACAACATCTAGCAAAAGTTATTCTTATAGCAGTTCAGAAATATTAAAAATACATAACCATGATTGTTTTTATAAGCGTTTGACAATCTTCGTCAAAATCACGAAAATTGGAGAATTTATTATTTTGTACTTATACCTACAGCAGTTTATAGGTACGTTCATAAAATGTAAAATTTTTATATCTTGAAAATGAACACATTCTCAGTATCTGTCTAAAAGTGTAAATCCTATTGTTAATGGGTATCCTATGGCCAATGAATCTACGGCTAACCTAGACTTAGGTAGCCTAAGAATATTATTTCAAAAACAATTTATTAATATCAGTCTCAGTTCATAATATAAGATTTCTAAATATTTTAAATTTTTATAGGTATAGATAATAGTACCACTATGTTTAAAGAAAAAAAATTGCACTACCTAGCTATGTTGGCGAAAAACTTGATTTTAAACAAAATTGTTCATATTGTCATTATACTATAGTCTATAATGTTATATATACCTACTACATTATTATTTTCTAAGATGATTTTTATCTACCAAAATAGATAATTCCATTTTATTTATTAGTTATACATACAGCAGTTTATAAGTATGCTTATAAAATGTTTAATTTGTATATTGTCTTTAAAATGTACACATTCTCAGCATCAGTCTAAAAGTGTAAATAGTGTAACTATGGTTAATGGGTATACTATATGTTTAGCTTCTGTTAACCTAGGCCTAGCTAGCCTAAGCAGACCGGTAAATAATAACAAATAATAATGGACTACATGATCATTATTTTATTTTCAAAAATAATTTATTTATATCAGTCTCAGTTGAAGATTTCAAAATATTTGAAATTTTGATTGGTATATTGGTATATAGATACCTATACTATATTTAAAGAGAAAAAATCGGCACCGCCTATGTTGACGACAAACTTGATTTTAAACAAAATCGTTCATATTGTCATTTTGTTTATGTTATATACCTAGGTACTAAAACATTATTATATTTAATACCCACCAAAATAGATAGTTCCATGGCATCGTTGTACAAATTCCCATCACTACGATCCATATCAAATAGACTATGACATTCATATTAGTTATCAATTTGAATACGTCTGAAAATGTATTCTTAGATCCGATTGTCTCAGTTATCTTAAAAAATATATCATGTAAACATTTTAAACAATAATTATATAATATCAATTATAGTCTACACTCAACAGTAGAACATACAGCTCCTAATATCCAGTGTTGGGTAGTGATAGGCAATTGCAAATTTATTACAAATTACTGTAACATTGTAACGCAAATTACTTTTTCAGTAACTCAGCAGTAATTTCATTACATTTCACTTGAAGTAACGCAATTGTAACAATATTATTTTTTTTAAGGTAATTTCTATGTAATAAAGCACTAACGGGTTATTAAAATAATAGTTATGAATTTATTACAAAAACAAGCCGTTGGGATATTTCAGAAAAATTAAAAATCAATTATATTTAATTTCGATTCCGATAACAATCCAGGAATAAAAGTCATCACTTTATACTAGTAGAAAGAAAAGAGTTCGGTTTAAAAATAAAATGTAATTAAAGTTAATTATGATTAATGACTTACTGATTGCACACTTGTACATAATAGGTCTATTATCACTAGGTCTATGATTGTAAAATATATACATAATAAATGAATCATATGAATTGAATATGGTTCAAAAAAAATTATAAATGTTTACAATGAAAAAAAAAATGAAATGTTATTTGTAACGCACTACGTTACTAATGAAAAAATAAAACAACGTGATAAAAATAATTTTAGCTAACGCAATTTTAATTTAAATAAAAATATTTGAAGTAACGAGTAACGTAATTTCATTACTTCTTAAAAGTAATTTACCCAACGCTGCCTATATCAATGTTGGATTATTTTATATTCCTAAATATAATGTAAATGGAAAATGTTAATGTACCTAAATTATGCAACAAACTCACTTCTATTTTGTACGCCAAGGCGAAATCCCATAGTATGATTATAAGGCATAGATAATAAACTGGAACGTAGTTTTTTTCATAGTCACTATTACTGAAATAATCGACCAGCACTCCGCCAAAAACTGAGAAAATTCCCCAACTTATGGATCCCCAGCATCTCTGTTTGCCAAAATCTTCAGGCTTGTCGTCTATTAATTAACAATTAATCGAATAAGCGAGTAGGTAGGTGAAGGAAAATTAGGAACAAAATATAAATACCTATACCAGTTATTACCGATAAAAATGAATTTTTAAAAAAGGGGGCAGCAACGTCGTAGCATGTTTTAAGGAGTAATATTTAGGCAACTCATGCGACATATAAATTAATACTGTATCTATGTGTGAGTAGTAAATGAACATAAGTGTGCTTAATCCGTTATCGTTTCCGAGAATAGCTGTCACGTCGAGTAGGGCAACCTCGAGGGAAACAACTCTCACACGCCCACGCTCATGTCAACACATCGCCAAAAAATGATATATATATTCTTGTTTGCACGACTATAAAAACTAGTCAAAGCGGTAGTAAATCAATCATACTTCCTGAAGTTCGATTGTAATTTCGAAAAAATGGTTGAATTTATAAACTTTTAGACTATACTTCTTAGGAATCACTTTTTTTAAATTTAAAATCAGATGTGCAAAAAATAAATACAAATGTAATGCAATTATTTCATGGGATTTCTAAAAAAAAAAAATGGTTATTTTAAGGTAATTTTAAATTGAAAATTGAAAATCGACTTCCTAAGAAGCCTAGATATTTTATTAATGAATTCAAACATGTATACAAAATTTAAATCAGACATTCCGAAGTATGTGTAATTTAACAACCGCTTATTGGTCTAAATCGTATGAAAAATATGTGCGTTGCAGCCCCTTTATACAATATACTTTATTAATAATTAGGTACGTAGGTAGGTACTTAATATAGTTAGACAAATTGGCCGGGAAAATTATGAAAAAAATTACAAATAAAAAAAAATATACTTGTTTTAAAATTTTTAAAATATAAGTGTTCTACTTTAAATCCCGAATTTGGTTTATTAAGAGCTATCTACTTGCAAACTGTATCGAATAGGTAACTCGAAGGGGCCTGGGTTTTAAACAATGTACTGGTAATTTTCACCGGTAAATTATTTTTTTCGATAGCAGATAACCATAGTATAATATTATATACCAAAACATATACCTATTATATTTTCTTGAAGTCGGATCAGAAATTCAACTCAAATATTATTTACTGGTGATAGGGTGAAAATAATTTAATTTAATGTTATAGAATCACTCACCTAAAATATCAAAGCATATGGGGTCTTGTAGACTCCAAGTGATTGCTTGGCTAATCCAAAACAAGCTCATGACAGTTAAATATTTCCAGAACTGATGTAAGCCAAAAATACTTCCCTCGAACTTTTGGACGGTCGCTAATTCCATTACGACATCGTTTGAGCAGTCGATCTTGCACCGAGTACTCACCTGTCTCTGACAGTACGGAAATGCGACTTGTGTTTTCATGATGTGTGCCGATTTCACTTGAAACACCACATCGTTCTTTTCGATCTAATCAAGGTTAAAAAACGAAACGTCGTTATGAGTTATAGATACATCAGCTATATCCGAAGTCTCGAAATGCGTGTATATAAATAACGTCCGGGACAGCTAAAAAATTTTAATATTTTACCTGGTCTGTTGCGCCGATAATCAAAGTCACGTCGAGATCCTCAAATCCGTCGTTTTTATACGTAGTATTTGTATTTATATTGATATTGTGATCGACGATACTCCAAGATTTATAGATTTCGTCCCGAAACGGTTCGTTTTGTTCACAACGTAACTATATAGGATAAAGATATTGACAAAACACTTTTTAATCAATCGGTTATTATAGGTATTAAATAATCATTCCTCTTTTATTTGTAAGTGGAAGACATAATATTTTCGTGTCTTAGAAATCATTCGCAACTTATCAACAGTTCGGATTATTAAATAGTCATAGGCTGGCGTCGTAACACTTAAAACGAAATGTAACAGTAAAATGTATAGGTACCTACTTTAAAGAGACAATGGATATTTTAAAATGCTCATAATTTAAGAACAGGAAATCTGCTTTCAAGATTCAAGGCTGTGCATTAACGAGTTAAAAGTTAAAATTAAGTCATAACGTTAAGTTAATTAACTCGTTACTTTTTTTTTCAAATTAACTTTTAACCTGATAAGTTACTTTTTTTTCAAGATGATCGTGTTGACTTCAAGTTAATTTTATTTCAAAAGTATCTAAATTAAGTTATTAATTGTCGTCCGAAGAATAATGCAAATTTTTGAACGAGGTTTTTACTTTGATGTACCATTTTAAATTTCCCCAGTCATTTTCTTGAGCGTAAAGAAAATCTGTCTAATGAATCATATTGTGTCTGGAATTTTTTTAACTTTGCAAAGTAGCAAATTTTAACTTAACACTAAGTTAAGTTACTTTTTTTTCCAGAGTTAACTTTTAACTTAACGAGTTTAATTTAAAGATTTTTATAAAGTCTTTATCTTGATTTAGTTATTTTTATCAAGCCCTATTATTGCTTGATAAGCCACTGAATGTATTATAATTTATAATTTAATATATAAATTAAAAACATTGTTAACAAAATCATTTGAACGTCGATTAGTTACAAATTACAATTGGCGGGTATACAATTTACATTTAACTTGTATTAAATATAAATATATTATATATTCTATCCTATTCACAATAATACAAAACATTACCCACTCAGTACAAATATAATTATATTATCGATTTATCTCGATAACGTAATATTACACAATCATATTATATACCTACCTATAGGTTCAATAATATGTAATGGATAATAATTATAGTATAGGAACTTATCAATTGAAAATGATCAAATATTTTTAAAGGGACAATATATTATTATATATTGGCACTGAATTTTTTATTGTTTTTTTTTTTTTATTTCAACCATTATACAACTTAGTTTTATAATTAGGTAGGTATAATTAACAATGATTTAATTACTTTTTTCCAATCTATTACGTACTTGGCATTCGATGGGTTCTGCGATGTTTTTTATAAGCTTAAGTAGACTGTCATCACATTGAGACAACCGGTCGTCATCGTTCGAACAAACGTTCAACACGGTTGTATTGCCACAACTTAAATTCGCAGCGGCTTCTGTGGGTATTTTCTGGATGAAGTTTAAAGAAAACGCCGTAAGACCGCATGACAGAACAAATGCTAGGAACATAATTCTTTTCACGCGAAATTTATCAACGATAATTCCCACAATGGGTTTCACGAAGAAGGATAACATGGACAAATATGTGAAAACAGAACCGACCACCATCGGTGAATAACCCAGTTGTTTCGCTATTGTAGGTGCAAATCCTTGAACTGATGCTATACCTGTAGAATTGAATAATAATAGAAAGTCTTAAGTCATTTAAAGTATGTAGAGAGCGTACAAGGAGCTCAAAAGATATTAGAAAAAATTGGTTGTACTCGTACATTGTGCAGGCACGGCCATTATTTTAACACGAATAATTTTTTTATAATTATTATTATAAAAAAAGCAGGTAAGTGGATGTCGCTCTACTGTACAGTAGGTTACAAATGGGCCAATGTATAATGGATTGTATTAAACTTGAATTCAATGATATATTACCATTGTATAAGAAAAACGATTCTGAGCGGAGACGGTTTATCAGTCTGGATTTTTTTAATTTTTATTATTTATTATACCATTAATAATACAATTATTTTTTATTCGGTGCTACTGTGATAAACAAATCATTATAAATTAAAATCCCATTTTAAGTGGTTTTTCGAAATTTGTCAGTAGTTTTTCCCGTGACATTAAATAACTATTGAGAAAATCGAAAAGTGACCTCTTTAAAGTACCATCTTGATCCAACTTGCTAAAAGATAAAGTATACAAAATTTCTACTAGAAGGAGTTCTTTGATTTTAACATATAGTACCTTATCTTTTAGAAAATTGGATCAAGATGGTATTTTAAATAGGTCATTTTTCGGTTTTATCAATAGTTATTTAATGCCACCTTAAAAACCACCGAAAAATTACGAAAAACCACTAAAAATTAGATTTTAATTTCTAACGCTTTGTTTATTACCATATAAACGAATAAAAAATAATAATATTATAATATCAATTCAACTTCCATGATATAATAATTAATGACAATATAAAATATCCACTGACAAACCGTCTCCGCTCAGAATCGTTTTTCTTATACAATGATAGAATATCATTGAATTCAACTTTAATACAATCCATTATACAATGACCCACTTGCAAACTACTGTACATCAGAGCGACATCCACTTTCCCGCTTTTGTTATTTTATTTTTATTCAAGTTGTATTAAAAGTTAAAATTGTATAGTTGTTATTTTAGTTGAGAAATGACAATAAGTATTTACTAATTAATAAATATTACCTGATTAGTAATTACTAATTAATTACATTATTTATAATATAATTTAAAAACCATTATCAATTGTTTACCTAGATAAATGTATGTGTATTTTCATCTTTATCCAGATAAAAAAAAATTATGTTATAATTTATCTTATTTAGATAAATTTTGAATGAATTATCTGTTATCTTGTCCACATGATTGTTTGGTTATCTATTCCCAACACTGGACTTATCTCCGTCTTAAAAATGTACAACATCGCAAAAACTGTTGAGCTGGTCAACTTTTCTCGCACCATATTTGTTGTAGAACAACCAAATTTTCACAACAAGTAAAGAAGAACTTTATCTTTTTTTTAATAGCACTATCCAATCATTTCTTATATAAGCAAATGAGAAAAACCAAATGTTTAGAAGTGAATAATTTTTATTGTATTTATGTTATTTAAAATATAGGCACGCTGTTGCATTGATCATTTTCTACTCTATATGCTCAGAAATTTTGGAGCCATTACTTCAAACACAGAAAGTTAACCCGCGCAAAACAGTTGTTACTATGTCGTACATTTGTAAGACTGAGACAACACATGAGGGTGTGACTTCCTCTTAAGTAGGTATCTATCAAATACGTAGGTATTTTGAATGCTTTCTCAAAGTATCCGCGTTTGTTTAAAATCAAATGCTTATTTTCAAATACTTAATTTGTATAGCTCATATATTTTCCTTCTTAATTGTGATCACGTGATATAAAAAAAAAAATTGATAATACATTATACTCAACTGAAAATTCAAATACTTTGAAAAATGGTAAACGGATGAGTATATATAATTATTTTATAGTTACACCGAATGATAAGGTGTAAAATGCAGCTCTATAAAATTAACGTAGAACATGAAAACCCGTTCAGACTATTTATAAGGTACTAAAAAAATATCTTACATGAAAAAATGAAAGTAAGTATTTGAAAGCATCTATAAATACTTTTTTATTGAGTATTCATATAGATAGGCATTTTAAATAATTTTCAATATAAGTATCTGTATCTGCATACTTCAATATTTTAAAAAACATCTTTTACAAGGCTGATTAAAATATATTGTAGGTACTAAGTAGATGTTTTTTTAATAATAATAATAATAATAATTTATATATAGCCAAATACCACTCACTCACTCACTCATTCGACGCTATATCATAAAAACTATAGAACGTACGAACTTGAAATTTGTAAAAGTGGTTTCTCTATTAATCCAGATTCAGTGTTGGGTAAGTTACTTTTAAAAAGTAATGAAGTTACTTTACTCGTCACTAAGAAACAAATATAATAAAGTTACTTCACTCGTTACTCAAATAAAATTGTAATGAAATTACTTTACTTTTAAAATAGAAAAGTAACTCATTACTTTCTCGTTACAAAAATAAAAAAAAATTTAAAATTTTTATGGAAATTATCTTTTGCAGGCAAATTGAACAATCAAATTCTTTATAAAACCTGTATAATCAATTGGATCATAAAAATGTAATCTTCCTCACAAGCTATATTCATAGGAAACCTAATTAAAGGAATCAAATTAAATAATAAATTCAATCAACTGGTCTCGAGATTTACGGTGCAATTAGACATTTCAAATGTCAAAACCATTGAAAACTGAATTGTGCTAAGTTAAAATAAAAAATATATACATATTACATTGGTGAACATAATAATACCCGCATTAAAAATATATATGTTTCAGTTCGCAATAGGTAGGTGGGAACTTAATAATTCGAAACTGTAACTCGTTATTCTATAGAAATTACTTTTCAAAAGTAATTTCCATTATATTTTCTTTACTTGGAAATAATTCTAATGAAATTACGTAAAGCGTTACAAGCAAAGTAACGCGTTACTTTCGTTACGTTACTACCCAACACTGTGATTAGATGTGCAATTAGAAAAAATTTTCCGTCAGTCGTATTCTAAAGAGGTGGTCAAACAGGGATCTTGAGATTCAAGGTGGAAATCGAAACTTTTTTTGTTGTTTATAAATGGTAGATGATATTGTACAACAGCCCTCATTAAATTGTCGTCCTTATGGCCTCGAATAAAAACACCATTATATATCTTAAAACCAAATGTATGTGCGTGTAACTTATTTACTACTCAAAAACTACTCAATTGAGTCCTATATAGATTTTTCACAGCAAAAAAACTGCACACGGGAGAAGCCAGAATATTCAGCTAGAATAACATATTTTGCAAAAAAAAAAAACGATAACATAATTGTACTTTAGCGTGATAAGCAAAAACTTGTGATGGAGGCAGAGTAAGTTGGTGTATTTTTTCAATTTAGAAAAAAAAAACTGTATTTTTTGTTTTAAACTGTATTTTTTTGTTCAAAATTATGTAAAACAAATCTTTCAAGTGTTAAACAGTTTAAACTGAGTTTTAAACTGTATATTTAAAACGGTTATAAAACTCAAACAATTTGTTCTGTTTAAAAGGTCGTTTTCAACAGGAAAAATCAGTTTAAACAAAAAATACAATTTAAAAAAAAAAATGTTTTATTATTTTTAAATAATCGACAAAACGTTTAAAACAAATGTTTTAAACATATAACAACCCCGGTCGGAGGTGAGAAGTTCAGTTATCAGTATTTTTATAATAAAATATAAAATCTGTCGTAATAGGTAAGTTTTAATTTTAAGACATAATTACAAATCAAATAATTGCAATGCCTAGTGTAAATTGTTGTCACTTACCTCCCATGTAAAGGAAATAATGCAATTTCATTCGCAGCGTTCGTTTATTTATTCGAATACGTATTGGTAACATTTTTGATTTTTAATTGATATTATCTCCGTGTGACTTATTATGTTTTAGCGTCTATAGAACGCCTGCTGAACGTGAACGAGAACTAGGTACTGCAAATAACTAAATACAACAAAACATTATTTAAGTTAGGTAACTACCAAATAATTGATGTCAAAAAACATTTATTACCTACCAGCTATGAATAATTAAATATTTTTTGTTTTCTTTACATCATCCTCTTAAGGGGCCGCCACACCGACATTTGTTTTCTCTGTCATATAATACATAGGAACATAGATAATATTCTGTATTTCCACGATCACAGCTCACTCTGGTTCAGTTTAGGGTAAATGCACCTATTATATATTCTATAAAAAAGAATGTTTTCTGTGCTTTGGCCGGATAGTTTCTTTAATATTTTCATTATTGAGTAAGTCATTATAACGGTTAAAAATAATCGAAATTAAGTTAAATCAAAACACGCTTATATTTGTAAAAAATGAAAATATTATAAAAAAAACTAAACTATGCAAAAGTACAAAAAATATTCTTATTTATAAAATATATAATAGGAGGTGAATTTTCCCTAAACTGAACCAGAGAGCCGTAATCGTGGAAATACGGAATATTATCAGTGTAATAATAATAATAATAATAATAGGTAATAGTTTATTGTGAATATAATATTTTACAAAAAGATAACAAGGACTAAAATAAAACAATAATGACGCTGCCATAAAAACTTTGTTTGTGGTGGGTGCAGTAAGTTCGATACAATACAAAAATATTACAAAAATTATTTAAATATTCATAAAATATTCTATTATTATTTGCGTATTACAAAGGTATAGAATAAACATTTCATTTTTTATAGTAATATAATGATAATAATACAACTAAAAGTATTTTTTTTTATTTTTTAAATTGTAACATAGTTACGATTTAGATGTTTGTGATTATGATATTTATTTTTATATGATTTTAAATTAATGTTAAGCTCAATACATAAACGAATACCGACATTAAAAACCATTTTTCTACCAAATTCTTTATTGGTTACTGGGATATTCAGATTTACTGTTTTGTTCGATAGCTATGTGACGGGTAATATTCTTTTCTAGTGTTCCTATAATATATTATATTATGCGCGAGACGGACAGAGAAATCAATTAATGTCGGTGTGGCAGCCCCTTAAGCTTATAATTTCATTTTCAGTCGCTATTCGATGTTAGAGATACAATATAAATTACAATATCGATGACCACTATTTTTAAAATTTGTATACGAAATAATACTTACTCGTAGACAGTTATAATAATTCCGACACTATACTGTGCATTTTACACGTTAGAGCTCATCGATCAGCAACTATACTATGATGCACAGAGAAATATAATTTCATTTAATTTCGCTTCTTGCTGACAACGAAACACCGTCGCATTACTCATATTATATTATAATTGAATAATATCAAAACATTAATAATAATCAATGACCTCTTGATAAGATTTAATCACAGCGCATTTAAGGCTTTTAATACGAATTAAAATTTAAATTGTTATGCTTATTATTGTTTATATATATATATATCATAATATCACGCTACGCCTATATACATATTTTATATTATATTTTGCTATAATAATATTATATATTCGGCCGGGTGGTACTGCTGAGTGTCTGCCCACAAATGTTAAATTTTCCAGCTGTCACTTACCATTAAATATCAAATTTTCTTATTGTATCTTAACGTCGTATAGATTGTAAATTATTTCAAATATAAAATAAAAAAATAAATATATATTTATTATGTGACGGACAAAGTAGGAAACCCGGGCACTGTATACGATGCAAGAACGTTTTGGGCAATATGTGAGAATGACAATTTTAAAACGTTAAGTTAATTAACTCGTTACTTTTTTTTCAAATTAACTTTTAACTTTATAAGTTACTTTTTTCAAGATTAACGTGTTGACTTCAAGTTAATTTTACTTCAAAAATATCTAAAATAAGTTAATTTTCTTCCGAAGAATAATGCAATTTTTTTAATTTGTTTTTACTTTGATGTATCATTTTAAATTTCCCCAGTAATTTTCTCGGACGTAAAGAAAAACTATCTAATAAACCCATGTTATGTGCCTGGAATTTTTTATTTTTACAAATTAGCAAATTTCAACTTTACACCAAGTTAAGTTACTTTTTTTTCAAAGTTAACTTTTAACTTAACGAGTTAACGAAAAAAAACACGAATAACTTATAACTTAACTTAACTTAATTATTTTAAATTAACTTAACTTAGAGAGTTAAAAAAAAAAGTTAACTTGCCCAGCCTTGCATTTTAGTATTCTATTTTTCATACATTTACCGGGCATGGATTCAAGTGGGCAGAGCTAATTAATATTACTGCACACATTTATGTCGAATGGTATTTATACGTAGGTAACAATAACACTACCACTATATATACCTACGAATTATTTTCACTGTGGGCCAATGTATCACTAGTCAAGTATATCGCGACTATAACATAGGTAGCCATAACTATACATTTTTTAGCGAGCTCGGCGGTTATAATTATAACATAATATATACAAAACAAATAAAAATTGAGCAATTTAATTTTATAATTATTAGGTATGTAAAATTAATTTTTTGACAGTTTCATATATATTATATATTTTAATGTCACTTTACTATGAATTTAACATGAAAGCCATCAAAGCAAGTCCTGACAATCTAATATTTCCTTGCTGATTATTCAAAAAACGGTTTTAATCAACCAGCTAAATTAATTATGGTGAAAAACTGTAATTACTGTAGGTATACATGCAATGCAATGCAATGCTCTGGCCTAGGGGGGGGGGCCTATATACGCCACTGGACAGTACAAAACTATTCTTGCATATTTTATTCGTTCGATACTTACGAGTAACGAGGTACCTATCTAATTGTACTCGATATACGCAGCAGGGTTCTGAGTTTGAAATATTTCTTTTGAAATTTTTCAAAATTTAAAATTTCACTCCTCTTGAAATATTTCAATGAAAAACATTTCTTCTTCTTTTAAACGTGTTCGGTTATAGATGATTAAAAATAATTTATTGATTACACACTTAGAAATTAAGAAAACATACTTATATTATTTTTGTTGATTTATTATTTCATATTTGTATATTCCATGTTATGTAGAAAAATAAACTTGGCATTATTTTTAGAATAAAAACATTTTTTGTATGAGTTTTACGATATTGTTGTATGCGGACAGTGTATTTCAACAGTGAATGAAATAATAGTGTATTTTCAGTAATTATAAAGTGTATGAAAGTCGTATAATATGTGATTCTTTATTCAATATTGTTTTGTGTATTTTAAAAGGTCACAAGACTATGAAGATTGGTTTATGAGTTGGTAACTTTAAAAAAATTGTCACATATACCTACTAGATTTTTAAATTTTTAAAAGTCGCAATTGTACGTTATAATATTTTGCTATATTAATATATTATATATATACAGAGTGATCCATTTAATGTAAGACACTTATTATACGAAAAGTAGATGGTTAAACGATTAAGACGTGTCTTACGTTAAATGGATTACTCTGTATAAACTTATTTATTATTCTGGACGATAAAACGCAAACTTCTCTAATGACAATGTGACTGCACAATATAATATTATCTAAATAGCATTTATAAGTCATGTGTACAAAATAAAAACAAATTAGAAGCTTCTTATAAATAAAGATAATAATCATAAATTGTAAAATATAAAATATACATGTATGGCTATAGGTATACCTATTATATTTTTGTGACAAGATAAACGTTCAAGAAAAATCATATTGTAGCCTTCACATTTAATATTTAGGTAGGTAATATTAGAGATTTAATAAAGATAACATTATAAAATATTATGATAGAATTTAAACAATTGTCACATACCTACCTACTAGATTTTTTTTAATTTTTAAAGTTACATTAGAGAATTTTACGTTATATTTTGCTATAATATATTATATATAAATGTATTGATTATTCTGGATGATAAAAGCAGAGCTTCTCCAATGACAATATATGACTGCACAATATAATATTATCTAAATAGCCAATATATCCGTCACGTGTTCTTATAAATAAAGAATAATATTATTATAATAAAATATTTATATTGGTAGGTAAATATATTATATTTTTGTGACAAGATAAACGAAAATCTTTCGTTGTAAATAAATATATTCTAACCAGGCTCGACTGTAAGTATACCTAGGTAATTTAGATACCTGTAAGCTGTAGGCTGTTTGGCTGCGTAGTATTCCTATTAATTAATAATTCGCTAATTTTGTTTTTATTCAACCATAATATTATGTTACCCTGCAACTAAAAAAAAATGGTGTTTAACAAACGATAGATAAGCGTATTTATTAATAAATTGTCCTGTGTTTAACGTCACGACGGTAATAACAATATAAACAATATACGTCTTGATAACCGTATTTAAAATTCCATAAAAACTTTTATGTCAAAACAACAAACATTGACCGAAATATTAAGACATTAATGTATAAAATAATTGAAATTTTAAAATACCATCGTAATATAATTTTTAAATAATACAAATAAAATAGGTACTTTATACACTGAAATTATTTTCCTTATCGATATTTATAATTAAGTTTGATCCTGGACACACCGAAATAGCTGATTGTTTAATGTACAACCAAGAACGGGCTGAGCTTAGGATACCTATAACAACAACATAGACACCGAATCCTATCATGAAAAAAACCTAGATATAATTATTAATTTTATGAAACAAAGAAAATTGTTCAATCTTAAATAATAAAAAAAAATATGTAGCCTAATTATATAACTTAACTTTGTATTTAATCACGTAAATGCATTATCATCTTGTAACTATAATGGCCTTTGTTGTCGATGTTAATTTTTTTTTTTAGAGATCAATAAAAAAAAAAAAAGTTTAAACCATAAAATATCTGAAATAATGAATAAAAAGTAATAT